AGGACTTCACACTGTTGTTGTTGTCTGTGACTACCACTGTTTCTGTACCATTCACCACTAACACCGTCACGTCATTGGGATATGCCCCAGATGTATCTCCTGCTACTCTGGTGTTAATGGTGCCCTGTAACACAGGAGTAGCCTTCAGGTCCAGCACGTTAATGGTGTCATGTAACACAGGAGTCGCCTTCAGGTCCAGCACACCCTCATACAGGACGTCTATCTCACCCAGCTGTAGATCGTCCAGTGCTCTACTCAGCTTGTCCGTGTCCTGTCTGAACATGATCCTGGCTATTCCTCTCGTATCCTTCACGTCTGCGACTCCGACAGCCTCCACATCACCGGCCTCACATCCCTGATACATCTCATACACATCCATGTCACACTCAGATTGTAGAGTCTGGTCTATCAGCTCAGCCTGTTGTTGGTACATCTGTACTGACATCTCACCTGACTTTATGTCTGCCTTCAGTTCCCCAATGTGTTTGTCAGACATTTCTTTCAGTTCAGCCAAAAGTTTCCGTTCCTTGACTTTGATCACCTCTATTGCTTTGAGACTTGCAGACTTAATATTCGATTCTATTTGTAAGTGAAGCGTTAATTCTTCATTGACGTTTGAGGTTTGTTTACCAATATGTGTTTTCATCTCGTCCTGTTTCTTCAACAAATCCTCTTTATTCCTTCTCAACTCGGTTTTCATTGCAGGAATCTCAGACCCAATTTCAACAACCAAGTCACATTTCCTGTGATGGATAGTGCAGCATGTTTGACAAACAGCTGTTTTACAATCTTTACAAATATATTTGACATTTTCATCCTTGTGGACTTTACACATGACCTTTCTATTGACCCTAACCTTTGTTTCTCCAGACAGGTCAACTACGTCATGGTGACGGGAAGATGGCATTCGTTTGTGCATCCTTGAACATCGTTCACAGAGTGCGTCATCACAAACAGAGCACCAAGATGTAGCTGGAGTTGTCTCCCCTTCCTCCTTGCAATAAATGCAGTCGGTCGTATCTGAAATAACAAGATAACTTTGGTCCAGAGTATCAACAGGGGGCAATAAAATGTTGTAACATATTTTTCTATTGATGCAGTACCTACACTGTCATAAAGCGGACATGTGTAACCCAAAAAGTAAAACAAATTCTAATTTGCATGTGGTCCTCCAGAATCAGTCTAAATATTTATCTGACATCAAAGTAGATAACAAACATCGAATGAAAACAAAACTAGTATTGGGGACGTTAATTAAGTTGACACAATCATAGTTTTATACGTGAGATTGTTGTCATTGATATGTCTACACTGGAAAATTATATTTCTTTTCAAAGTAACAGCTACATTGTTCTTATTTCATAATGAAGGCGATCAGTGGAGACATGCAGATATTTGTAAAATTGTGAGTTTGTTTGGGTTATTTTTAACCATGAACCATACTTCTCTGTGAGAGTTACCTCCCTTAGGCTGATTTGTTTACTCCAGTAGCCTGTAATGTACAAAAGTGCTAATATCTCGCTACACGAAAATTGTGTCAACGTTTCCCTCTGTAGGCCTGTCCTCGATCCCCTGGACAGCCAGACCCGCTTCATTAACATGGGTCAACGTTTCACAGCAGCGAAAAGAGTCTGACTGGTACCTTGCCCTTCGCCTCCTAGCGGCTCCAGGCGAAGAGCGCAAGAGCTCTGGAGCAGGTAAACGAGTCTGGGACGGAGCGTGATCTCCTCTTATGATTGTCCCCGAATTTACAGTTAAGAATGTTTTTAAAAAGTTATTTATGTACTTCGCATGTAAGCATATCAATATACATTTGTGAGACAAGAAAGTTTCTTTTAGAAGTTTGTTTACATGTTTCCAACTATTACTCATCCTATGTAACTTTCTCAAACCCAAACCAAAAGAACCACGGCGCCGTGCAATTATGTTCCATATGGAACTTTATATGGCTCATCATGAACTCATATGGATGAGAAAATATGCATCACAAGCATTTCAATAAGTGCTACCGCGAAATAGTATGTAAACAAGCATGAAATAGTCATATCCCCCGGCAATATGACATGCCGGTGTGTGCAATGCATTAGCTCCTGTGAACTATGTTCACTGGACCTTTTTGTAAATGGCGTAATTGCAGCACTAAAAAAGGTTATTACTGGCGTTGTTTTGCCATGTGCAGTTTATGATATAATACGTAACTGTATTCGTAATGAGTTGTGTTATTACTTAAACAATAATCAGAGAAGTAAGGGAGTTCTTACTTTACTTAGAGATCAATGAGAGCAGGGGTCACCATGAGGTTACTGAGAAGTACAGCACCAATCATCTGATGATCTGAGTAGTAGACTGGAGTCTGGAATGCTACAGCACTGGCATGACCAGTAAACAACAAGTCCAGAGTAGTTCCAAGACAGTGAGTTGGAGAATGAGTCATTTTCCGCACATTAAAGAAATCTTCAAGTTTAAGCTTTTCACTAACAAGTAACAAGGACATGTTCACATTCATGCTGCTTGGAGAGATCCTGAAGTTTCTGCATGAAATGAGTAAGTGACTGTGACAACCGTGTCCATGACACTTTTGGAGAAACATACACACAAGCAATGCAGAACTTGCCAACAAGAAAGGAAATGTATTCAGTACTGCGAGATGACATTACATCACACAGCTGGATACTGTTCTTGAAACTTGTTGAAACATACACAGCAATACCATGCGTAGTGTCTCCTGGATAGACTTGATATCCTGGCAGGTCTCTTTCACTGTAATCATTGAAACACAAAACATCAAGCACACCAACAAACGTACACTGCGAGTGAGTGAGTGAGTGAGTATGGTTTAACGCCGCTTTTAGCAATATTCCAGCAATATAACGGCGGGGGACACCGGAAATGGGCTTCACACTTTGTACCCATGTCGGGAATCGAACCCGGGTCTTCGGCGTGACGCGCGAACGCTTTAACCACTAGGCTACCCGACCGCCCCAACGTACACTGCGAGGAAGTAGGCTGGTTCGGGTGCCCCTGTTCATGTTACCGGTACCCACTGTGAGGAAGTAGGCTGGTTTGGGTGGCCCTGTTCATGTTACCGGTATCCACTGTGATAAAGTAGGCTGGTTCGGGTATCCCTGTTCATGTTACCACTGCCCACTTTGAGGAAGTAGGCTGGTTCGGGTATCCCTGTTCATGTTACCGGTATCCACTGTTAGGAAGTAGGCTTGTTCGGGTATCCCTGTTCACGTTACCACTAACCACTGTGAGGAAGTAGGCTGGTTCGGGTATCCTTGTTCATGTTACCACTACCAACTGTGAGGAAGTAGGCTGGTTCGGGTATCCCTGTTCATGTTACTGGTACACACTGTGAGGAAGTAGGCTGGTTCGGGTATCCCTGTTCATGTTACCGGTATCCACTGGGAGGAAGTAGGCTGGTTCTGGTGCCACTGTTCATGTTACCACTAACCACTGTGAGGAAGTAGGCTGGTTCGGGTATCCCTGTTTATATTACCGGTATCCACTGTGAGCAAGTAGGCTGGTTCCGGTATCCCTGTCCATGTAACTGGTACCCACTGTGAGGAAGTAGGCTGGCTCGGGTATCCCTGTTCATGTTACCGGTATCCACTGTGAGGAAGTAGGCTGTTCGGGTATCCCTGTTCATGTTACCGGTATCCACTGTGAGGAAGAAGGCTGGTTCGGGTATCCTTGTTCATGTTACCGGTATCCACTGTGAGGAAGTAGGCTGGTTTGGGTATCCCTGTTCATGTTACCGGTATCCACTGTTAGGAAGTAGGCTGGTTCGGGTATCCCTGTTTATGTTACCGGCATCCACTATGAGGAAGTAGGCTGGTTTGGGTATCCCTGTTCATGTTACCGGTATCCACTGTTAGGAAGTAGGCTGGTTTGGGAATCCCTGTTCATGTAACCGGTATCCACTGCAAGGAAGTAGGCTGGTTCGGGTATCCCTGTTCATGTTACCGGTATCCACTGCAAGGAAGTAGGCTGGTTCGGGTATCCCTGTTCATGTTACTGGTATCCACTGTGAGGAAGTAGGCTGGTTTGGGTGGCCCTGTTCATGTTACTGGCACACACTGTGAGGAAGTAGGCTGGTTCGGGTGCCACTGTTCATGTTACCAGCATTCACTGCGGTGAAGTAGGCTGGCTGCGGAAAAGAGGTCTACCGCAATTTCCAGTCTAAGTTAAAGTCGTTGCCAGGGAACCTCAAAATTATTTATTTTTTAAATCCCAAAATACCAAAAGGCATCAGTTCAACACTAGACCTATTTATGTGCCAAGTTTTGTGAAGAAATATCCTACGGTTTCCAAGATCTGCTCCGGAAACGAGGACTACTGCCATTTTCATTTTAAGTAAAAGTCGTTACCAGGGAAACTTAAAAAATGTCGGGTTTTTTTTAAATCCCAAACTATCAAAAGGCACCAGTTCACCACTAGACCTATCTATGTGTCAACTTCGGTTAAGATATCTCTCATATTTTTGTGTGTTCTACTCCAAAACGAAATGTGACGGATGGACGGACGAACGTAAGGACGGATGGACGGGGGATAATAACACTGGATGTGTTGCACTTGTTAATTTCGCCACAAAGAGCGTAGAAAAAACAACGTTTGTGTGTGAGAGAGACCTAAGATCATATCGGTGTTACTCAGTAAGCACATGTACACAAAATGATTTCATTTTGTGCAAAACCCTCCCAACAACATCATCAAACAATCTTTATAGATGACTTTCCATACACGATAGAAACCTTAACATACCTAATTAATATATTCAAATCAAAGGTGGGTGTACCTTCCTGGGCGGGGCGTTAGTCTAGTGGTTAAAGCGTTTGATCGTCACGCCGATTCCACGCATGGGCACAATGTGTGAAGCCACATTTTCTGGTGTCCCCCGCCGTGATATTGTTTGAATATTGCTGAAAAGGCCGTATACCATACTTGCTCACTCAGTCGTGGAACCACACATATACCTATAAACCACAAACGCTCACCTTTAGATCCGGGACCAAACGAGTCCAAGAGTCCCTGGAGCACAAAGCTAGGCTTGACGTCATCCGCCCACTCCTCCACTGGTCTATCAGGGGCAGACACTTTCGTCATCTTGCTGCAGAACGGACACAGGAGAGACTTGGCACTGATGGCTTCTGGTCTGGTTTTGGTGTAGCTGACCACACATTTCCGACAGAAGGTGTGATTACATACAAGTGTACAGGGCTTGTCAAACACCTCTGTACATATCGTGCATGTCAGGAAGTGCTCTGTTAACTTCTGGGAGGTCGCCATCTTACCTACAAAATACAATCAAGCCGTTGTATTTCCGGTGTACACAACATACTAATCTTAGCCACAATCCGAGCTTACTGTTCTTAAACACGTAACACTATGACTGACTGTAGTTGTAGCACTTATTTGCTGTTCCGTTCAAAACTAAGGTCGTGTATTTGTATCATTCCATTCACCGCCTGCATCATCCGGTTCTTGAAAAAAAAAATATCCCCTTTCATAAAAAGAACATTATTTCAGATGTATGCAGATCTTATGAATTAAGAACTGACATTCTGCCTTATACTTAGGCTGACTGCATTTGTGTGTGCGTGCGTGCTTGCTTGCGTTCTTGCGTGTGTGTGTGTGTGTGTGTGTGTGTGTGTGTGTGTGTGTGTGTGTGTGTGTGTGTGTGTGTGTGTGTGTGTGTGTGTGTGTGTGTGTGTGTGTGTGTGTGTGAGTGTGTGTGTGAACTCGCGGCGGTCCTGCAGGAAGCATATATATTTACCAATTGACCCGTCTGTGTAAACCCGGGATCAGTTAGAAGATAGTGAATGGTGCTTTTCAACTCGAGGCCACCTGTTGGCTTTACAACTTGAAGTGTGTGCAGCGTATCGATCATGTGACACATGTTTGGGGTGACACCCACTCATTACCATATCGAAAGTAGGAGACGTTAAGGTCGGACTCTATCAGATGAAGAATAATATGGTTATGTAGCATTGTTGTTTAGTGCAGCATTTGTCAGGGATCATGTCAGTAATAACTGTAACAGACACACGTGATATATACATACACATACATCGGGATCAGTCACAGTGTTGAAATCAAGTGGTTGAAAGTGGATCTTTAAAGTATTACGGTTAGCCTACATGTTACATTTAATAAGGTGCCCGGTCACGAGAATCTGCCAGGAGATGACTGTATAGTTAGATGAACCCTTGTGGTGTTACCAGTACACAGTAGGACAGGTGTGTAGCGTTATAACTGAAGTAGACGCAAGCCTTGTGACAACACGCACTTACCTGGTGTTGAGGGAAATTGAGCAGCAGGAAGTGAATCGTTCGTGACCAACTCGTATCATTCCGGGACAAGCTTCTCGCAGTTTACGGAAAGAGTCGAGTGGTGACGAATGCACGTATGTAACCAGAAGTTGATTTCGACACCAAGTAGGACTATGTTAAGGTGGAGGTTCTGAAAGCAGGCCCACACTGTAGCACCGCAGTGAATCAGAGCGACCTGTTATCCCACACGCAAGCAGCATATTTTATACAGTGTAGTAAATCATTCGTGATAAATAAGCACAGCAGAAGTTAATAAAATTCGAATTAAATATAAACTATTTTATTTGTTATTTATTTTATATTGCATGTTTAACTGATGCAACATGTAAAATACAGTTGCACCACTGCGAACCGTGGGCCAATGGTAGACAGCACAACATGATCAGTCGGAGACAAATGTCATGTACATGGAGTTGGTTAAAGTTACAAAGAGTTAAGCAGTTTTTTTCTGTTATATTAAACCAGGAAGTGACATGTGATGTTATTGCAAGAACTGTTCTTTGATGCAGTTTTATATGTCCTGTGTTTATTACATTAAACTGGCCACATGTCTTTCCACTTGCACTTTCAAACAGTTGACCTATGATTGCCTTCCACGTGTTGACTGCCATTCAGTAGCACGACAGACCCATGTTGTATAAGCAAGTTTCCCCATCTCTAATATCAACATTCCTCATCAATGTAGGATTTTGACATATCGATACATGTCAAATTTCCATATTAAAACAATATGTTAACCCAGAAATTAGTTCGTTAAAGAATTTAGGGTGAAACCAACAAACACCCAACAAATGGTATACAATCAAATATACAATTAATAAAGTTACTGCACTGCAATGACATTGTCAGTAAGCAATAGAGTGGTTGTACAAAATTCAATGGCAGGTTTAAATATGAAGGCAGTGGTGACATAAAAAAATCACTAAAAACAAATGCATAAAGAAAATATCATCTTTAGAGGAGAAAGGTCTTACCTCAGTAAGTCATTCAGAATGTCAGCGCATCGTAATACATTTACATAAGGTACAAAATGATAAACGTGACGGGTATGACGGTAGAGATTTCCGAGTTGTCAATGAACCTGTGTCGGTTACATATATTGGTCATCAATTATCAATTATCGATCATTGAAAAATGTTTATAAAGATACTAAGGTAAATCCATAGATTGCCATAGGCTGTCGCTGTCAGTCTAGACACGGATCGAGTCGGTACTACGATAGTTTGGATGGTTTGGTTCGTGAACGATTATGCAGTCAAACACTCTGACGTTTCTCAATGTGTGCTACATGTAAGTGTTTGAGTTCAAGAATAAAGGGTCTAAATAATCAGAAACAACGCTTTTTTCCTGTATTTGTGTAAGGGAATTCCCAGGCTTCCCCCAGGAAAGTGTAAGTAGTCCGTCGGTCTTTATGTCATTTCAAGAATGCGGTCTCCTGAAAAACGTAAGAACATCAAGTTGTGTCGTTATGAACGTCATGTGAGCGACCTCTTGTCCAAAGGAAAAGACGTGTATCGTGTAAATTTGATTTTTTTCCATGCAATGTCAACAGAAACAATGTAACACAGTTACAATCATTGTTTAACAACAAAATAAATACTACAAAATGTTTTGCTAATTAAAGTAACTAAAACAATTGATGTTTCAATATATGTAAATTGTCAATGGAAGAGAAGAGAATAAGCAGTCTAAATAATCAGATTCCATTTGGCTAAAAGGGCAAAATAGCAGTGAATTTACATATGAATGGACCACTGAAAATCAGTGATGACACGAGAACACGTGTTCTTCTTGAATGTGACGTCACTACAAGGGGATTCCCCGTCACGTCAGGTCAGCAGCAGCAATCAGGTATTGAGTGTTCCAAACACTGATCATGATGTCCACGCACTGCTGCTTACGATGTGGGTCGGTGTGGGTTGCTAATACATTAGTGTAGATTGCTAATGCATAATTGTGGTTTGTTAATGTATTAGTGTGGGTTGCTAATGCATTAGTGTGGGTTGCTAATGCATTAGTGTTGGCTGCTGATAAATTAGTGTGGGTTGCTAATGCATCAGTGTGGGTTGCTAATGCATTAGCGTTGGTTGTTAATGTATTAGTGTGGGTTAAGAATGTATTAGTGTAGGCTGCTAATGCATGAGTGTTGGTTGCTAATGTATTTGTGTGGGTGTCTGATGCTTTAGTGTGGGTTGCTAATGCATTAGGGTTGGTTCCTAATGTATTAGTGTATGTGCCTGATGCTTTAGTGTGGATTTTTAATACACGAGTGTTGGTTGCTAATGCATTAGTGTGTGTGCCTGATGCTTTAGTGTGGGTTCCTAACGCATGAGTGTTGTCTGCTAAGGTATAAGTGTATGTGCCTGATGCTTTAGTGTGGATTTCTAATACATGAGTGTTGGTTGCTAATGTATTAGTGTGTGTGCCTGATGCTTCAGTGTGGGTTCCTAACGCATGAGTGTTGGTTGTTAAAGTATTAGTGTGGTTGCCTGGTGCTTTAGTGTGGGTTGCTAATACACGAGTGATGGTGTGCTACTTGACGTAACCAAAGGTAAGCTAATTTATGTAACCATAGATGAGCTACGTGATGTAACCAAAGGTAAGCTACTTGATGTTACCAAAGTTAAGATACTTGATGCAATGGTTCAAGAGACCCACGTGAAAACAAGGGACGTGTTGTCAACCAAGTGCATCAAGTGAACCAATAATGTTCAGAAATGTTTGGGAGTTAGATTTCTCCACAGGCCAATTACCAGTCCCCGGACAATAGGTGGTACTGCTTTGCTCTGACTGTGGCATAAAAATAACAAACAACTAGTATACGTGTCAAACTTAAAATTGGTTTAAGTTAATCATTTACCTTTATAATTTACCTTTAGTGTGGGTTCCTAACGCATGAGTGTTGTCTGCTAATGTATTAGTGTATGTGCCTGATGCTTTAGTGTGGATTTTTAATACACGAGTGTTGGTTGCTAATGCATTAGTGTGTGTGCCTGATGCTTTAGTGTGGGTTCCTAACGCATGAGTGTTTTCTGCTAAGGTATTAGTGTATGTGCCTGATGCTTTAGTGTGGATTTCTAATACATGAGTGTTGGTTGCTAATGTATTAGTGTGTGTGCCTGATGCTTCAGTGTGGGTTCCTAACGCATGAGTGTTGGTTGTTAAAGAATTAGTGTGGTTGCCTGGTGCTTTAGTGTGGGTTGCTAATACACGAGTGTTGGTTGCTAATGTATTAGTGTGTGTGCCTGATGCTTTAGTGTGGGTTCCTAACGCATGAGTGTTGTCTGCTTATGTATTAGTGTATGTGCCTGATGCTTTAGAGTGGATTTCTAATACATGAGTGTTGGTTGCTAATGTATTTGTGTGTGTGTCTGATGCTTTAGTGTGGGCTGCTAATGCATGAGTGTTGGTTGCTACTGTATTAGTGTAGGTTGCTAATACATGAGTGTTGGTTGCTACTGTATTAGTGTAGGTTGCTAATACATGAGTGTTGGTTGCTAATGTATTAGTGTGGGTGCCTGATGCTTTAGTGTGGGCTGCTTATACATGAGTGTTGGTGTGCTACTTGACGTAACAAAGGGTAAGCTAATTTATGTAACCATAGATGAGCTACGGGATGTAACCAAAGGTGGGACATTTGACGTAACCAAAGGTAAGCTACTTGATGTTACCAAAGTCAGGTTGACCGCGGCATGGGTGACGTATGCCTGTTAGTGTTGGGTGGACATAGCAATGTCCCACAACATGTGTACATGACAAACACATGGCCTACTGATTACTTTGATACGTCAAATCTACCAGGAGTTTTCCTTTTGTACCCAGGGTTCCTGTTTCTTGCTTTGTGTATTAGAATATTCAATGTGTTAGTATCAATATATGCGATATCTATTGATTATTTGCGTATGCCACTTAGTACTGATAACACCCGTGAAGATCGGATTATAATTCTATAGGTCTTCAGCTACCCTTCCAGCTGTAAATGGCGACAATGCTTATCGTAGGAGGCGACTAACGGGATCGGGTGGCCAGGCTCGCTGACTTGGTTGATGCATGTCATCGTATCCCAATTGCCGTCATATAGCTGGAACATTGCCGATTTCAGCGTTAAACAACAAACAAACAATACTGATGATTATCTAGCGTCGCCTCCAAATTGTCTGACCATCCTTCATGTCCTTATCTCGCATTGTATGAAACATTATGACTAATATTAGAACGATGCACATTTTGGTAAATGATGAACTATATTTAACCCCGCATCTCTAAAACGGATCATTACTTTATCAGCGAAAGTTTTCTTCAAAACACCTAGGTGGGTTGAGAGATGCCTGTCTGTATGGGCTCCAAATATGCGCAGACAGACATGTCCATCAGAAATCAGCACAACGTGAATAGATTCGGTATACAAATTCGTGAATATTAAAAAGTCCGTCATTTTTATGAAGCACCCTTGTTGTTATTTGAATGGCACATGGTAGATTAACTTGTGTGCAGTAACTTTTCTTCCATTATATCCCGTTGAGCAGTCCATATTCAGACATAGTAATATGCGTTGTGTTAGTCTGTTTTTGAGTGAGTGATCGAGAGAGTAATGGATAATGACAAGGGAAAAAAGGATTCTGGTGCTACAGTTACGCAGGCTTTGACAAATTTTCTTTATTTGCACTAAAAACTAGGTACAATTTTATGTCTGCAGGGTAGGTGAAAGGTACACATACAAATGAGAGAACATCGTGAACATCTAGATGCATGTACCTGGGTACAAAACAACGGTACACAGGTCGTGATCAGTCCCCTCGGCTCTAGAATAGTTCACTTGCTTCTATTGATTGTATAGTATGTCGAGGTTGCCAACGTCGGCAAAACTAACATGGTGAAACTGATGTCAGATGTAATTCCCTGTTTAGACTTGAACAACATGTTTCAGTGTCTTTTCAGGTGAACAACTGACTTGCTGGTAATGGGAGCCGCCGGTGGGACAGGCTACGCTCACCTTTTAGCGAACACCTGGTATCATCACAATTTGATGGTGTTCAATAAAGACTTGCTCATGATATAGTCGGAATCATACAGTCGACTCTGCTTCAAGCACAGATTTCCTATGAATATGGAAAGGCCTTTGTGCGTTTTTATTGCACTGGCGGTGCACAACAAGCAGCCAATGAAGTTCTCCACGTGGGGATTCCGGGTTAGAATAGGTCCTCAGCAACCTGTGCTTGTCGTACGAGTCGACCAAATGGTCAGACTCCGTCACCTGGTTGATACAGTGTCATCGTGACCCAACGACTTGGGATGTTGCTCGTGATGTCAATCACTGGTTTCTCGCGTTCATACTCGATTATTTACCGTCATATACATGTAGCTTGAATATTGCAGCGTTGACCAACATAGAATTACAGTGGGTTCGTTTATTTGTAACACACATGGACGGCACACTCTGTGGTAGAATGTTCATGGCTTCAAGTGCATTCGTTCACTGCATTTTATGGCGCTTCAAAAAACATTGCATCACGATTTATCTCCCTTAGACCGATCAACGGCCAAGTGAATGTAACACGTCCTCACCACAGAAACGGGAGAGCAATCGGTTCTGCTTCATAACGCGAAACAGTTCAGTAAAGCTACCAAAACAAATAGTACATTTAATGTATATATGTACAATAGTAGTTTCAGGTGATTCTGCTGAACACTGAGGCTGACATTGTACTTAAATTCGCCCCTTGATCTGTGACTAGATTGGTGATCGGTTGGTCACAATGGCTGCTTAATACGGGCTTTTCACGTTGACTGGTTTGGCGGTGTGCAGCCACGATCAGCCTGTCGAACTCAGCAACTGTCGCCCGGATCATGGTGGTCGTAAGAATGCCTATAAGTCTGGCTGTCATGTAAATATTACACAGATATATCAGATATCACGAATAGATCCATAATACACTGGCATGATGATAATTCACAATAATTCATTTTGGGGTATCATTAAATGAATTATTGATATAAAATCAGGAATAAATAGTAAAACGGCGCTTGATATATAAATCTGATACAAAAGAGTGCTGAACAGAAGGAATAGCTCAATGTTACACTTGCATTGTGGTTACAAACATGAAAAACACATCATGCGGAGGATCTGGTATTCGATGTCATGACATTTGATCAAATCCACCTACAGTCGAAGTTTGTAATACATAAAATGGAAAACATGTTCAGATTAGACCTGAAGACTAAAAGCAGTACGTGAGTAACCGTGTCTTGCTATTGAGATTACAAATATAATGTGTACACTTACAGACCATGTATGATTAAATCTTAATTCATCACATTCAAATAGCAAAGCTCATGTGAGTGATTAAACACTAATATATAATGTGATTTTACTAAAACACAGTGAAATGTGCTTAAAGGTCAATACACAATGACACATATCAAAACCTAAATCCTCAACTCACACGTGACTACAGTTGATTGAAAGGAGGATTGTGACATGTTCACTCACTTATATGTAAATACCTTCACTCCACCTGACATACACACGTACATACGGCCACGCCCACCAACACACACTCCACATGGATACTGGACATCATCCAGTATTGTCAGTATGTTTCTAACAAACTGTCCTGACTCAGTCAGATGGAGGACTCTGTGTAGATTGATGTCTGTCACCAGGATGTCGCCTGTGCTGGTACTTGTGATACCATATGGATACTCCATTTCTGTGTATCCTGTAGGGCTGTAGGTGAACACCTCATCTCCCTCGGGAGTCAGACACACGACACACGTGGATCCACAGTCAGACACCAGGATGTTTCCTGTCTTCGTGGTACAGAGGAAGTAGGGATTCTTCAAGATGTTTCTACTAGGGTGTCCTGGACAAATTGACTTCAGCACGTGTCCCCTCATATCCAGGATATCAACACAGGGAGGGGAGATGGAACTTGCTGCTAGTGTTGATGGTGTCAGAGACGTTATACCGAAGTACTGTTTGATTGTTGTGATGGTTGACAGCAGCACTAGGTCAGGGTTGACTTGTACTGTTACAATCTGTCTGGTATCCGGCACAGTGACAGCCACCTGGTTGTCCTTCAACTTTGTTATACTCCACGGACGACCACCCAGACTGAGCCTGCTGAGACAAGACTGCTTGTTCCTGGTGTAGAAGGACTTTACACTGTTGTTCCAGTAGTCTGTGACTACCACTGTGTCTGTACCATTCACCACTAACACCTTCACGTCACTGGATCATGCCCCAGATGTATCTCCTGCTACTCTGACGTTAATGGTGTCCTGTAACACAGGAGTAGCCTTCAGGTCCAGCACGTTAATGGTGTCCTGTAACACAGGAATAGCCTTCAGGTCCAGCACATCCTCATACAGGACGTCTATCTCACCCAGCTGTAGATCGTCCAGTGCTCTACTCAGCTTGTCCGTGTCCTGTCTGAACATGATCCTGGCTATTCTTCCCTTCTCTTTCACGTCTGCGACTCCGACAGCCTCCACATCACCGGCCTCACATCCCTGGTACATCTCATACACACCCATGTCACACTCAGAGTGGAGAGTCTGGTCTATCAGCTCAGCCTGTTGTTGGTACATCTGTACTGACATCTCAACTGACTTTATGTCTGCCTTCAGTTCTCCAATGTGTCTGTCAGACATCGCTTTCAGTTCAGCCAGAAGGTTCTGTTCCTTGACTTTGATCACCTCTATTGCTTTGAGGCTTGCAGACTTGATATTCGATTCTATTTGTAAGTAAAGTGTTAATTCTTCATTGACTTTTGAGGTTTGTTTTTTAACATGTGTTTTCATCTCGTCCTGTTTCTTCAACAAATCCTCTTTATTCCTTCTGAGCTCAGTTTTCATTGCAGGAATCTCCGACTCAATTTCAACAACCAAGTCACATTTCCTGTGATGGATAGTGCAGCATTTTTGACAAACAGCTGTTTTACAATCTTTACAAATGTATTTGATGTTTTCATCTTTGTGAATTTTACACATGACCTTTCTCTTGACCCTAACCTTTGTCTCTCCAGACATATCAACTACGTCATGGTGACGGAAAGATGGAATTCGTCTGTGTACTCGTATACATCGTTGACAGAGTGCGTCGTCACAAACAGAGCACCAAGATGTAGCCGGAGTTGTCTCCCCTTCCTCCTTGCAATAACTGCAGTGAGTCGTATCTGAAATAGGAATGTAATCATGTAGAGATAGTAACAGTTCTATATCACTATCTATTACAGAACTTAATGTGGCATATCACTCACGCGTGTGAGACAACATGCATAAATAACATCCCAATACGACGTAATGTGAAAAAGTATGTAAATAACATTGGATTTGTCTCACTGATAGAAATCCCCATATAGATTTCAGAAGAAAATAGCGATTGTGTCTGAGATAGACCTTAGACTATCTCCCTTTCGAATCATGTCTGGATAATCGTTGTTACTTGTTAAAACAGCGTACACGATACGATTTCATAGTCTACATACAGTCTACAAACAACTTAATAAATGACTTTCGATACATTTTGAAACCATACAAAATATCTTCTCACTCAACACACATTCCTATAATCCAATCAGGTGTGGAGTTACCTGCTTCGAAATAACATTTATATTCATACAAACCACAAACTCTCACCTTTAGATCCGGGGCCAAACGAGTCCAAGAGTCCCTGGATGACAAAGCTAGGCTTGACGTCATCTGCCCACTCCTCCACTGGTCTCTCAGGGGCAGACACTTTCGTCATCTTGCTGCAGAATGGACACAGGAGAGACTTGGCACTGATGGCTTCTGGTCTGGTTTTGGTGTAGCTGACCACACATTTCCGACAGAAGGTGTGATAGCATACAAGTGTACAGGGCTTGTCAAACACCTCTGTACATATCGTGCATGTCAGGAAGTGTTCTGTTAACTTCTGGGAGGTCGCCATCTTACCTACAAAATAATAAACCAGCCGCTGTACAAAACATCCTGATCTTAGCCACAATCCGAGCTTATAGTTCTTGAACACGTGACACTAAGAACGACTGTAGTTAAGAAATGCTATTTGTATCCTACCGTTCATCGTCTGGATCATCCAGATCTTGAAACAATAAACAAATGTCCCGTGTCATATAAAACATTTTTCAGATGTATGCAGATCTTATGAGTTGAGAACTAATATTCTGCCTTACACGTGCGTGCGTGCTCGCGTGCTCGCGTATATACGTGTGTGATTTTCTCAACTCTCGGCGGTCGTACAGGAAGCATGAATAGGTACTTTATAGCTACCCATTCACCCGTTTGTGTATACCCGGGATCAGTGAGCAGATAGTGAATGGTGCTTTACAACTCGAGGTCACCCGCTGACTTTACAACATGAAGTGTGTGCAGCGTATCGATCACGTGACATAGTTATGGGGTGACACCCACTCATTACCATATCGAAAGTAGGAGACATTATTACAGTTCACATACTACCATATCAGGCGTGAAATAATACAGTTATGTAGAAGTATTTTCCCATATTGTTTACTGTAGCATTTGTCAGGGATCATGTCAGTAATAATTGTAACAGACACACGTGATATATACATACAGATATGTCGGGATCAGTCTCAGTATCTAAGTCAAGTGGTCGATCGGAGGCAATAGTGAAAGTGGATCTTTGAGGTATTCCGGTTTGCCTACATGTTACATTTAATTAGGTGCCCGGTCATGAGAATCTGCCTGGAGTGACTGTTTAGTTAGATGAACCCTTGTGGTGTTACCAGTACACAGTAGGACAGGTGTGTAGCGTTTTAACTGAAGTAGACAAAGGCCTTGGGACAACACACACTTACCTGGTGTTGAGGGAAATTGAGCAGCAGGAAGTGATTCATTCGTGGCCAACTCGTGTCATTCCGGGACAAGCCTCTCGCAGTTTACGGAAAGAGTCGAATGGTGACGAATGCACGTGTGTAACGAGAAATGGAATTTTACTGGTAGTTTTGTGTTTTGGTGTTACGGAAAGCAGGCCCACACTGTAGCAGCACAGTGAATCAGTGAATCAGCATATTATGTACAGTGTGGTGAATCAATCATGTTGAATAAGCACAGCAGAAGTTCCTAAAATTCGAATTAAATTTAAACTATTGTATTTGTTATTTATTTTTTAATTGAATGACAACTTGTACAATGCACTTGCACCACTGAGAACCGTGGGCTACATTATAGACAGGACAACATTAACAGTGGGAGACAAAAGTCATGTACACGGAGATGGTTAAAGTTACATAGATAAGCTGTATTTTCTGTTATATAAAACCATATTTATAGAATACTGTAAAGGACGTTCTCGCTATCTCGTCCTTTGGAAACGAGCTAAATATGCCCAAAACACGAATATGCGAGATCGGGAGAACGCGAGATTTGGCCAAAATATCGTGTTCTGGTGATCCCGCATTCTGTGTTTTTGATACATTTTTTACACTTTTTATCAAAAGTCGACAACGCGAGAATGCGACATTTGGATATGATGAAAAATCTCGCAATCTGGCATTCTCGACTTGTCAAATTACGCCACAAAACACGAAATAGCGTGGAATGCGACATTTCAATTTCTCATGATCTCGCGTTCTCGTGTTCTCATTTTTTAGACGCTGTCCGTGCACATGTGTAATATCGTAAGGTCAAGGCGCATCCGCACGTTAGTAGTCCGCTGGTCGTGCTTCTTTCATGCTCTTCATTCTCCAAGTAGCATTTAGCAACCTTATGACTTTGTCCTTTGCAGAGTAGAGTAGAGTCCTCTCCCTTTGGTACAGTTTCCTATGTACTTTAAGTTAAAACCCTTAACATGCTCAATATATATAATTTAACAAAAGAAATTGTCTACATGAATATCCAGTGATAGTTAAAACATTAAAGTGTCCGGAAGCTGGAAACAATATATCACTGTCAGTGAGAGAGTAAGTATTCCTCAAAGCCACATCAGCAGTAATGCAGCTATTCGCGGCTGCACTGTCAGTTACAGAAATAATCACAGGCCAGTGATTTTTTCCATGAGGCATCAGACGACTGAGAAACTCGATGACTGTATATAGCATCACTTATAATTCCCGATATGTTGTTAGCTGTTCAGTTTTATTTAAACCTTGAAATGCATGACATTTGTCAGAACATTTACCGCAATGATAAGCGGGAGTATCGGTCTTCACAAGCGGCTGGAGCAGGTTACTGCACTCATTTACTGTGGAAAGATATTGTCTATCAAATTCAGTATATAAGGTAATCGCATAGTAGTAAAAAACTTGATGTAAGATATAAAACGGAATGAATAGAAACAAATATTATTCATATTGTTTTAAACATGTCTGTGTTGATTAATCATTTTCGGAATATATTATATTGTAAATTAAATTTGACGATCATAAAGTTGGCCGCCGTATTGATGCATCTCATGGAAAGTTTCTTGTTTTCATATACATGTACTGTACGTGTATCGGGCCTGGTTTTGTGTCTTCCTCAGTCAAATTCCAAATTCGCCCTTCATTCCCAAAGGATGCAATGTGTGAAGCCCATTTCTGGGGTCCCCCGTGATATTACTGAAATATTGCTAAAAACGGTGTGAAACTATACTCACTCACACACATTGCAGAAGTATTGCTTTTAGCGGCGTAACACCATACACATACACTCACTGAGGGATATTTTCAACATTTTCACAACCTCTGACATAACATTGATAGGTAACTTATGCTTTTAGAATATAAACGCCTCTTCATCTACGCGCTGGAGTGTGTAAATACATTATGACGTCATAGTTGTAATTTATGACGTCATCATAAGTATGACGTCATTATATGTCATTGTCAGTTACACTGAAGAGCTGTCATGAGACAGCGAAAGTACTATGTATGAAACTGATATAAAGAAGATGATGGACTAACGTGGACTTTATTATTTTATTTTATATATATATATATATATGTATGTATGTATGTATATATATGTATATGTATATGTTATTAAAATATCACAATTCCTTCGCGAATTCTGATTGGCTAGCGCTGTTCTACTCAAACCGTCATATGTAACCATTGAAATAAACCCGAGAACGCGAGATTTTGACACTTGACCAATGTCGCGATCTCACGATATAGCATTCTCGTGCTTTTGTGTTAATTGCCTATACAGTTATATGCAACCATTTTCAAAAACGCGAGAACGCAAGATTGCGAAACTTGACCAATATCGCGATCTCGCGTTTTCTGCCAATTACCTCTACAGTCATCTAGTGGCTCGGTTGTCTGCGGCGTCGCAATTCGCTGTGTAGAGTTGCGTTCCTTGGGCGTTCCAGAAACCTATGATGGTGGATTTGGTCCCATTTCAAACTGACAAGCCAGGGTATACCTGAAATATAAATACTGTTCAAAGCGGCATAAAGCCAAACTCACTCTCTTGTATTCATGCCACGCCATGCCATGCTGGTCCCTCAGGCTGGATATTGGAGGTACTTTTCCAGTGTAAGCATGCCTATCATGTGGATGTCAAGGCCGCAATGAATTATTAGTTCGAGTTTGACTGAATTTTGAAATACATGGGGAACGGAACGCATTTTATGTTAAACAGTTCATTGTTTTCTTATCGACCTATTTAAGGCATCTGTGTACAATTGCTGTCGAAGGATGCGATTCACATGCATCATGCGTGTTCAATAGGGCTACGTGTACGGAGTAGGAACACACATATTAGCGATATTTCTATTTCTAGGAAAATTGAGGCAATAGAATAATGTAAGGCGGGATATTTTGCAGTCAGGTGGGAGAGGATGAAAATCTATTAATTAATTTTGTATGGCCTAAAGTACCGACTATGGTGTCATGTAAAAACATCGGACAATCTCATTTTAGCCGAATGCTACAAATTGGTCTTTGACAATGTTGCTTTAATGAATATGCTAGCTGTGTATAAATTTGCCTCATAGAGAAAATCACTGGCCTGTGATTATTACTGTAACTGTGGTGCAGCCGCGAATAGCTGCAATACTGCTGATGTGGCTTTGAGGAATATTTACTCTCTCAGTGACATTGATATTTTGTTTCCAGCTTCCGGACGCATTAATGTTTTAACTATCACTGGACATTCATGTACACAATTAATTTTGTTACATTATAATGAGCATGTTGATGGTTTTAATTTAAAGTACATAGGAAACTGTACCAAAGGGAGAGGACTCTACTCTACAAAGGACTTTGTGTATGTAAATGACATAGTATTTTCAAGCTCAAGTCATAAGGTTGCTAAATGCTACTTGGAGAATGAAGAGCATGAAAGAAGCATGACCACCGGACTACTAACGTGCGCATGCGCCTTGACCTTATGATATTACACATGCGCGCGGACAGCGTCTAAAACGCGAGAACACAAGAACGCGAAATCCGGAGAAAATGAAATGTGGCATTCACGCGTTCTCCCGATTTCGTGTTTTGTGGCCCAATTGTGAGATTGCGAGGTTTTTCATCATGTCCAAATGTCACATTCTCGAGTTGTCGACTTTTGACAGAAACAATGTAATACAGTTACAATCATTGTTGGACAATAAATTACAATGTCATACAACAATATGTTTTGCTACTGACGTAGCTTGTCTTAGGGGACCCTTTTGCCTTGTGTGGGCATGGTCCCGTCACAATGACCAAGATAGTGGGGGAATTAACTTGGTAGAGCTGATTACTCGGCTATCACATTTAAACCGAGAGAAGGCTGCTGAGTCTCTTTACGTCTTTATTTATGGCAGAGTCAAATTTGAATGAGAGAATGTGAGATCGCGAGAATGCGAGTCGAGAGAATGTCCCTTACAGTATTCCATAGACATATGATATTATTGCAAGAACTGTTCATTGTGCTTTATATGTCCTGTGTTGCAAGTACAAACTTATTTCCACTTTTACCTTCAAACATTTGACTGATTGCCTTCCACGTGTTGGCTGCCATTCTGTGGCACGATAGATCCATGTTGTATAAGCAAGTTTCCCCATCTCTAATATCAACATTCCTCATCAATGTATGATTTTGACATATTGATTAAGTTTAAATAACATGTTAACACAGATTTCTTTTTCGTAACAGAATTTAGTGTGAAACCAACAAACACCCCAAAACGGGGTCCAATCATCACTTGTATTACACAATTAACTAAGTTTACAAGTAAATACAAGTTACTGCACAGCAATGACATTGTCAGTATGCAATAGAGTGTAGTACAAAATTCAATGGCAGTATTAAATACACAATATGATGGGTGGGGTGACATCAAAACGTTCATTAAAAACAAACGCCTTAAAAAAGTATCTTCTCTAGAGGAGACAGGTCTTACCTCTGTTAGTCAGTCAGAATGTCAGTGCATCGTAATACATTTACATTAAGTACAAAACATAAAAATGGCTGACACGATAAACGTGACGGGCATGATGGTAGAGATTTCCGAGTTCTCAATGAACCTGTGGCAGTTACATATGTTGGTCATCAATTATCAATTATCGATCAATAATGATTATAAGATGTATCAAATAGATCCCAAGGTAACTTCATAGTTTGCTGTAGACTGTCGCTGTCAGTCTAGTCACGGATCGAGTTGGTACTACAATGATTTTGATGTGCATTGTTTCGTTTTGTTCACTAGGATGAGTCAAAGTGAAGACATTCGTGAACGATCAGGCAGTCAAACACTCTGACGTTTCTTAATGTATGCTAAATCTTTTAGTTCAAGATTAAGGGGTCTAAATGATCAGAACAACGCTTTTTCATGTATTCTTGCGAGGGAATCCTCAGGGGCTCCCCCAGGAATGTGTTAGTGGTCCGTCAGTGTTGACATCATTTCAAGAATACGGTCTCGTGAAAAGCGTATGAACGTCAAATTGTGTCGAACGTCATGTGAGCA